CCCCCCCACCCACCACCGGTTGACAAAGTACATCAAAATGTTCCTGATCAAAGTGTGAGGCCTCCCTTACCCACTCAGATGAAATGATTTTTTTTTTTTAAAGATCCCCTTTCAGAAATACTTAAAAAGTGCAATCCCATTACAAGCAACCCATCCCCATTGAAACAGTCGTCAACACAGACTGGGGGAGAAGGAATCTTGTCAACAGGAATTGGGGGTAGAAGGTACATTCCATTATGTCATAGAAATTTAATTTGTCTCGGGAGATGAATATATTTTTGCCCAAAATTTACAATTTTAGCAAACTGGATTTCATTGTTTTACTATTAACTTCTCCATCTCGGGAGCTCCACTGAAAAAACCTGGCCCATTCTGCCATTCCCCCTCCCCCCTGACTGAGCGCCATATTGAAATATTTTGCCAGTGCGACCGCACACCAGCAGCGTCAGGCTGCTATTAAATAAACCTTACAAACCTCGACAAGTCCTGGTCGTTTACTTCGTCTCTTTTTGGTTTAAAGTTAGTCTTCGGTTTGGTACTCGGAGAGAAAAACGCTCTGGAACGAAAATTATGGATAAAATGAAATTAGCAACTGTGATGCTCTGTTCTACGACGAATAAGTTTTAAACTTAGGGTTGCACTCTTCAGAAAAACCACAACATGCAAAGAGCAAGGTATTGCGTCTTACGCTATTCCCCTTTGAGCCATTGCTGAAGTGTCTAAATGAAAGAATTTTCAAATAATACAAGATGCATGAAGATGAATATTTCCAACATCGAACATATTCCCTCAAGTAGACTCTCTTCCCGCCAATTTTCATTCTCGCCCCCAGACCCTCCTGTCGCTCTTAGCCGGCGGGGCCTTGGCATGGGGAAACTGTGGAACGCAAGATCACGGTGCCAACCACGGTGCCTACTTTTGTTAGTGCGCACACGTTCTGCGTGTTAGAAGTTGGGCTGTTATAATCCATCAAAACTGTAGTAAGCCACCTTAACATTGGTTGTGAGACCAATGCGGCTGCCGTGACGTCATTAGAAAACACTCAGATCGTTTTCACGTGACGTCATCAAGTTCTGAAATCTAAAACTAAAGAGCCAACAAATATCCTTCAAATCTTTTTCGTAACACCCGCAGTTTTGAAAATTGGGGAATATTCTCAGATATTTCCCAGTTTTAGCTGTGGAACATTCGGTCACGTGACGTGTTTAGACCAATCGCGCGCGAGCGAAAATATTTGATGGATTATAATGCGTGATAGCGGAAACGTCATATTGCTAAGACAACCCCCAATTCTTTATTTTCCAAGTGCCCATAATTCACTCTGTTTGTCCCACAGGTTTTGCATAAACTATTATTTTTAAATGCTCTTAGGAGGTCTGCATATTCCCAGAAGCATTTCACAACAGTAGTTTATGCAAAATTTGGGGGGCAAAAAGAGTGAATTATGGGCAGTTGAAAAAAAGAGAATAAGGACATTAACTCTAGCCATTCCCAAGGGATCCAGGGCAGTAGAGGTTCCATTTTGTTTGAAATCTGTTTCCATGCCAACTGTCCAAGTGAGATACCAGACATCTTCAGAATCACTTGACGCTGGTTTCAAACCATTAAATAAGTTATCTTCGCCCCTCTTCTCTTTGCCCCTCTTCATCTCTGGCATGCTATGGCCAAATCACCCCGGCCCCCGTGGGCGTTGGTTCGTGAGAGGAAGTGTTGCGTGACGGACGCGTGACGCAACGTAAACGAAGGGGACTGGGCGTGGCGTGGCGACAGTTTACAGCAGTAGGTGTTCATACCTGTCTTTGAACTGGAAATTTCAAGCTTTCGCCATCTTGGGTTCAGTCATAAGTCCTTTCTTTCTGCGGTGAAGACTTTAAACTTGATTTCTTTGTGTTGCTTTGAATTTGAAGGAGCCCGAAGCCACGATGCAAGCGATCAAATGTGTAGTTGTTGGAGACGGGTAGGGAGTCCATTTTGATTATATACGAACTCACATTATGATTTTTTTTTTGAGGGAATTATTGCTCGATGTTACGTGAAAGTTTTACATTTGTCGATTTTCTGTTGGTTTACGATCTTAAACCGCTTTTATTTAAAGACCCTCGACTTCTTGTGATGTTTTATTCGGGATTCAAGGTCTCATAACTTCATCAACTAGCGGCCGGCGTGACAGAGTTCTAAGAACATGTTTTCGCTTGTTTGCTTATATTGCCGCGCCGGTGTTCTCAATTACCCGAATTTTTTCCGCCAAAACCAGCAATTAAGTCGTTAATTGTTTGTTCGTTTTCTTGTTATAGTGCTGTTGGTAAAACCTGCTTGTTGATCAGCTATACTACAAATGCTTTTCCGGGGGAGTATATTCCGACAGTGTAAGTATGCAATGCTCAACTCTTCTTGTGTTGTTTTTGCTGTTTTACAACATTTTATAGACGACTTTCCCATCGCCCCTGTCGTCCTACATCCACATTTATTGAGTACTAAACTTATTGAATCACTTGTTTATTTTATCAGCAACAATTAACGGTCGAAGCTAAGCTGATCAAAATTTCACTGATCTTTTTGTGTTCCAGATTTGATAATTATTCTGCAAATGTTATGGTTGATGGCAAACCTATAAATCTTGGCTTATGGGATACAGCAGGTACGTCCAGGCATTGACTTTGAAATATTTTCCCTCTTAAAAGACTTAAAAGAAGACACCATAACACTTGAAAGTTGATTTTTTAAAGTTAATTAATGAAGGTGCTTAAACTTTAATGTATTAATGGTTACAAACTTATCATATGTCAGCACTAATATATTAGTGATAAAAATAACTTGTGGTTAATTATTCATCCAAGGCAGACAGACCATTTGACAATAATTATTACACATTGAACTCACTATCTTTTTTTCTGATTGGCCAAAAGTGTACAGTGAATTTTCGAAATCAGCGCCTGTGACGTCATCTAGCTGCAATTTATACAATAATTATGTTTAGGACACTCAAGGTCACAGGTAATCAGGGCTGTAGATAATATTTTTCTCTTGAAAGGACATAATGTCCTGCTAAGACACCATCTTGATCAGACATCACTAAAAAGGTAAGATTTACTCAAGGTAGATTTTTGTTCATCCTTACCATAAAATGGTTTACGATCATCATGAAAAAAATTTTCCGGACACAATTTCTGACCACAGTTGGGATTTCGTCAGACATAAGCAAATTTTGGTTGGCCAATATCCGATGACCGACTTTTATTTGCAGCCCTGTAATGTGTGAGGCACTGAATATTGGCACCATCTTCTTTCAGCTTGTTTTTTTAGGACTCAAACAGACATTTTGTACCATTCAACTGTTTATTTTAGATGGAAATTGAATTCAGTTTTTCACAGTTACTGGACAAGTAGTCTGGAATTGTGAGTAATGTATGTGAAATTGCGCTGTATGCGTGTGAACTTCCTTTTCGATCCGTAGGGGTATCCAAAATGCGTGTGAGTTGGCAGGTAGATAATTACTTCGGATCCAAATCTTCCTCTGCAACTTTAGAGAAACAATATTCTTAAGAAAACACCACCACCTTGAAGGCAAATAAAATTAACCTGTTGTCTCTGCACGCACAGGACAAGAGGATTATGACCGACTGAGGCCACTTTCATATCCACAAACTGTGAGTCTTACAAATGTGAATAATTAAGAGCAACTCTGCTATGTTATCGACATGACCAGGAATAGCGAAAAAAAATGGAATTTCTTCAAACTCAGCCAGAATGACACCATACAGCCACTAGTTACAAAAATATTGGTTTTAGTTTGATCGATGAATCGTCAATTTTTAATTTTTGATTCCAAAAATTGGCCAAAACTGGCATAATCAGAGGCTCATAAGGTGATTCCTCAGTATTGCATTGCCTATCCCTTCTGCGCACGATTTTCGTGTCAATATCGAAAATCCTTTTTTTATTTGTATTTTTTGAAAGAGTGCTTGGTAGGGAACATTCAGGGAAAGTTAATAACAATTGTTGGGCAACTTTATTTCTGAGGAATCACCTTAAACTCAAAAGTCAGAAAGTATATGATTGTGAGTAATCTTAAGTAACTGTTACAATTGTTGCATGGAGTTTTGTTGTCATATTCATTTGTTTATGTTAGTTCTGTTTCAGGATGCAAGTCTGTGTAATGTTCTTTCTTTTCTGGATATTTAAGGTTTACAGTATATAAGTGTGGTTTTCTGCTGGCTGAGGAACAAATGAAGTGGAAACATTTTTCTCACACATAGCTGGGAGTCTGAGTACAAGTGTATCATGGGGGGTTTCAGGTCACGTGGCTTGGACAAGGTTCAGTTTTTGTTTTACCATCCACCACTGCCTGACATGCCCCACCCACCCACCCACCCATGAAGTATTTTTAGAGTCTATAAAGTTGCAGTGAGTTTATTCTCTAGCCATTTTTTTATGCCTTTGTAAGACAGTTATGTTGTTATGTTAATAAAGGTCAGGCTTCATGATTTAGCTTGGCATGGCTCCCAGTGGTGGGTGAGAAGGTGTAATCTGTCTAGAATTTCAATGACTTTATTTGTTGAGTGCCCTAAAAATTGTTTAATGTGTTCGCTGTTTACTTCTATTTCAGGACGTCTTTTTAATCTGCTTCTCTCTAATAAGTCCAGCTTCCTATGAAAATGTTCGAGCAAAAGTGAGTAGGCAGAAATACCTCTTGCTATAGTTTACACATGAAGTGTTGACCAAGTGTGAGGTCCAGGTAGTTGGATATTGGCCAAGTTCTTTTGCTTGGTACATGTTTATGAACCAAGATGAAGGACATCACGGTTCATACACAGTCATGTGAATATGCAAAAAGTACATACAGTCAAACCTCTCCACAGTGGCCACCATGGGGATAGATGAAAGTGGCCACTGTAGAGAGGTGGCCATTATGGGGAGATAAGGGTGTAATTTAGGGTGCGCTTTGGTGGCCGTTGCTGTTGTGGAGAGGTGGCCATTTTAGAGAGGTTTCAGTAAGTGTGAATATATGGAGCATCCAGCTAGATGAAAAAAAAAGTGGCCATTCGAGGAAGGTGGCTGTTAGTGGAGGTTTGACTGTAGTGTTCCTGGGCAACAGCACTAGTTAAAGGAGCCCCCATTTAATATATAATTGCTTAATTTTTAATTATTGTTGATAAAAGTGATTTTCCCTTGTGGTTGTTGCTATCTTTAATCTTTAATCTTTAATACAAATTCCAAATTACAATACATTGAACAAGTCAGTCCAATGAATTTGAGGACAGGTTAAAACAGAATACAAGATTCCTTAATATAAGCCGCCTTAGTGTATCATTGTATGACTGTATACCTAGTTAAAAATTACTCTAAACTCGTATTAAAAAATAAGATAATTTGTGATTATTGTTTTGTTTTGCAGTGGTTCCCAGAAGTCAGCCATCATTGTCCTAATACACCAATAATTTTAGTTGGCACCAAACTTGACTTGCGAGATGACAAGGAAACTATTGAAAAACTGAAGGAGAAAAAGCTGTCACCTTTAACGTATGCGCAAGGCTTGCAGATGGGAAAAGAAGTGGGTGCCGTGAAATACCTGGAATGTTCAGCTCTTACGCAAAAGGGACTAAAAACAGTTTTTGATGAGGCAATCAGGGCAGTGCTTTGCCCTCAACCGAAGAAGACAAAGAAAAAAGGAGGATGTCAGCTACTATAAATTTCCGATCATGTTTGAACACCAGACTGCAATTTGTGTGTATAGTTTCTGCTTTTATCTGGACAGTTGCTAGTCCTGATACTCTGGGAGAGGGGTGCTCCCTTATATGGGTTATATAGATTAAGTGTGGCCCCAAAGGGTATGGTTTTTAGGCCATTTTTGTCATAGTTAGGGTATCGATTTTGGCCATTTTGGTCACAAATAAGGTATTGTTTTTGCAATCTAGTTTTCAATTGGATATGTTTTTAAGAAGAAGCTACTTTTTCATCATTACCGATAAGACCATCAACAGAGGACCTTATTATACTTAGGGCAACTGTGCCAGCCGCAACGATCAGAAATAGATTTTGGTTTTTAACTAGATTTTTACAGATTTTGGTCATAAATAAGGACTTTGGGAAGCGGGCTGCACACCCCCACCAAATTTTTCTGGGAGTACCCCCCTGGCCTGATACCCAGTTGTCGCTTTTTGTTTTACTTTTACTCTGTATAGAATGGAACTCTAAGAGCATGGTTGCCACAGGTCAGGAAATTGTGAGTCAGGGAAAATTGAAATAATTTAACATGGCTTTTTTAATAGCATTGAGGGTTGGACAAAACATTTGGGATCGTGATGATCTTAGTGATGCTTTTTCCTTAATGAAGAAGGGAACTTTGTTGAAAACTTGAGTCTTCATCAGTGGGTGGAAAGAACAGCTGTAAGTTGATGCCAGAAGCTGCTACAATCGGACATTTTATTTTGTTTTGGTCGCAGAAACTTGATTTTTATCAGGGAAGGTCTGGAAAGTCACGGAATTTTGAAAAATGAGCCTGTGGCAACCATGAAGAGGGAAACCATTAGCTAGGTTGAATATTATGGAGAGAGACTCCCAACTTGTTGTTTCAGACAATATTCACACCATTCATAGGGATAAGTTCTTGCACATCAAACTTGACATGGAAAAGGCCGGGTACTTTTGTTTTTTGCCTTTGAGCCATTACTCTAGTGTTTTGATTCAAATTTCTGTATCAATTATCAAACACGCAAAAAAAAGTGTTATCTTAGCGTTTTTTTTTTTACAAATGAAGAGGAGCAGTGGGTACAACTTTGAAAGAGTTTTCACCAGTCTCTCTCTGTTTGTTCAAAATTGTTTTATAATAAATTTCACTGTGTGATATGTCGTTCAAGAATGTTCAATAAAATATTCTTGACATTTTTGGATACTTTTTTATCTTTTTTTCGTTGTATTATATAGATATACATTAACAACAGTTTGATAGTGAAACAAACTTGAAACGTGTAGTTTTGGCGACAAGTTTACTGGAGGGCTGGGCATTACTTCATCGATCAGATTCTTTTTTATCGTAATAATTCGCTGGAGTGTTTTTGTTATGAAATATACAGCTTGTCGTGTGATTCCAATACACTGCCTTTTTTTCTCAAACTTATTAATAATTCATCAAGGTTAAACAAAGGAAATCATGACCGTGGCGGTGTTTGGATATCTGTTCTTAATTAGCATAGATTTTTACGATTTTATTTCTCCGTTTCTTCCTTAGCTTTAGTTTCGATGGAGAAGATATATCAAACACTCAAGTCCGTGTTTGAACACATTTCCAAACACCTCGAAGTTCGTCAAAAATACTCCGCTGCGCGTCGTATTTTCAACTCTCTTCTCGGTGTTTGGAAATGTGGTCAAACACGGTCTTTCATGTTTGATATGTTACGTCACACACCAAGGTGACAAGGTCCCCCCTTCCCTGCCCTTTGGTCTGAAAATTTGGATTTTGGAAAACACAGTGGAATCTCCGGTTGCGACCACCTCTTGTAACCGACCACCTCTCCTCAGCGTCCAGTTTTCCAAATACCAAACGTTTCCAAGTCAAATCACTATATTTGGAACCTCTTGTAAGCGCCCACCTCTCGTAAGCGACCGCGACCGCGTACTTTTAGAGTTAAAGTTTGAAATTTTCTTGTTTTTACCTCCCGGCCGTAAGCGACCACCTTACAGATAATAGAGCAAAAATTGGACGGTTAGGTGTTGTAACGTTATTGTTTTCCTGTGAAGTACCGGATTTTTTCTGGAAATTGACTTTGATTGAAACATTTAAAGAAAATTAAAAATGCACATAAACTGTACTCAATCAGTCTTGAAAAGAAACGACCTTAAATGTCTTAAAATGAGGAAAATTTTTGACCCAATATGAGTACCCCGCCAGGAGCCCATCATGGACTCCTGTCTCCGCTCTCGGCTAATATAATATTACAATATTCTTGCATATTCTACTATACTTGCCATATACCATAGTTTAAGACACTGGTATTAGCTAGGTTTTTCATATCACAATTCATTTTTTACCGATTTTTCATTCTTTGGTTTATTATTTCCATGGAAGTATCGATTAGTTTAAAAAAATACATTATACCAACTTCAATCCATTTCCAAATACTGGTTTAATATTCATATGGATCCAATTACGGGAAGTGGATAGGAGCTGTACTGATCGTTGTATTTGGTGCATGACCGTAAGGGAAGCTTCCTTCAAACTTCGAAGAAAGTTGGCCACTAATATGCATGCAAATAAGGAAGTAAACAAGACGCAGCAGGGATAAGGAAAAAGAAGTCCAGAAATTAACTATACTCGCGTCTCTCATAATTTTAGGTTTTTAACTTTTATTATATTATATATTTGTATTCATAGTTTTATTTTCTGAGGGCCACAAGTTTATTAGCCTTTGGCTATTTAAGTGTTTTAACCCTCCTTAATAAAGTCTTTATTATTATTAACCATAGCTTTAATTTATTAACTTGTGAAATTAAACCTTCCTTTCGGAACCCTATGGATTTTGAAGGACAACCCTAGGTAAAATAGAGTAAACTACATGTAAACTCTTCCGTGGGATTCGAAACCAAAACATTTAGATCGATCCTCCAGCTTCCTCTCTTGCTGTTGTGAGGTGACTAAAGCGTGTCTGTATCCTGCACAAAGACGCTCTGTGGGCTCGTCACGGCTTGTCACGCATTCTCGTAATACAACACGTTCCGATCCCAGGTCCCAGGTTCATATTTTCTTCCTTGAGGAAGAGATTGGGGCCTGGGAACGAACTTGGACATTAGACATTATCGTTTTTCCGAAAGTTTCACTTTCCACCCCTGAGTTGAAGGATGTCTTGCATACTACACAAGATTTACATAGTTTATTTCAATTCTCATAGCTTCAGTTCAGAGATATCCAGCGATAGACTTCTCTAGCCAGACAAGGGGTAAGTACCTGGTTATTAAAAGTACCGTCTTCTCTATACTGCAATCAACTAAAACATGGCAATTTTTGACAATGTTTTGTTACCTTTATGATGAATATTATAATGCTAAAACTGTTATCATGGGAAAGGTATGAACCAGAGCTTTTATATACTGTTGACTGCTATTTTCGTTTCAGCCCACTAGCTAGAGAGAGTAACGGGTCCTATCAGAGCTCAGAGGCACTCTTTATAAGCGCTATTTTTGGCCTCTTTGCTGGGGGTGAGATATATAAGGAGGGTGTGGCGAGGCTAGGTTCTAAGCTCATATAAGGCGGTCTCCTTGCAGAGCTCTGAACTTCCGTTTGCTTCATGTACAAGTTTGGGTAATAGTGAGAGAGATTTACCTCCGAACGCCGTTTCTTTCTTCTCCGAAGACTCCAAGCTCTGTTTGAAAGGGTCGGTTTGAATTTGAAGGGAGCTCGAAGCCACGATGCAAGCGATCAAATGTGTGGTTGTCGGAGATGGGTATGCAATACGTTGAGATTAGAAGCTTTCTGAATGACCTTCAGGATGTCTTGCTCGATATTACCGTGATATTTTAAGATTCTCGTTTGTCCCTGTGCTTTTCGAGATTTGAGCGCTTTTGATTGTAAACTTTCAATGTTTGGACGCCCCTAATCATGTTATTTCGGGTTGCAATGCCTCGTAATTTCACGAACTGCCGGCGTGTATTAGATGTTCAGCGTTCTTTTGGCTTCCAGCATTCTTATAATGTGTCTCCCCTTGGTGTGAACCTCCTTGTCCCTTGTTCGATTTTTTTGGAGCATTTTGGCTGAAACTAAGAGTAAAGTTGCTAATTGTTTGCTCGTTTTCTTGTTATAGTGCTGTTGGTAAAACCTGTTTGTTGATCAGTTATACCACAAATGCTTTTCCGGGGGAGTATATTCCGACAGTGTAAGTATGCAATGCTCAGCTCCCGTTGTTTCAGCGACTTTATTTGCTGCTTATTTGATTCGATACCAGCTTTTATGGACGGATTAGGTGCTGTTCTTTTCGTACCAATCGTGTTGTACTCGTCAGTTTTCGGCAACGGCGGTCGAAACCAGCCTGACCAAAGTTTCTCTCATCTTTTTCAGATTTGATAACTATTCTGCTAATGTTATGGTCGATGGCAAACCAATAAATCTTGGCTTATGGGATACAGCAGGTAAGTCTGGTCCTTTTTCAATGCTTTCTCCGTTGTGAAACTCTATTAATTTGATAGTAGACGACTTCATGAAGGTGTTACTAGTTTTACACAAACTTACCGGAGGTTTAATTTTTGAGTCTCGTTTTTACCTGTTAAGCATATCAATGCAGTAAGCTTAACTTATATTAATTACCCAACAATGAACATTTGTACACTTTAGCTTGTGTTCATTGGGTGAAAGAATGAAACGGCGTGATGCTTTGTTGTAATTCTTTGTAATTAGCAATTGATATTCAGAACTTGTCACTTTGCAGTAAGCTTAATTGATAATTTGAAGATAAAAAATTACCCTAACTATACACCATCATCGTGGTTAAATAATATCATGTCGATACATACAAACAACCAATGGCCACTGAAAAGTTAGATATTAACACCTAGCATTTCCAGTGGTCACATTATTTTGCTCAATTTTGTTGGATATAATTTTGGTATTGACCTGTAAAGGGGTGCTTGCACCACATTGAATACTGTTGATCCATACATAACTGATTCATTTTATTGGAAATTGTCACACTTTATTTAATTCTTTTATTTGCCTTTTGGCACGTTAGTCCTGGGTCATTTTATGAGGTTGTTTATTACTATAACATTATGAAACAGTGGAAGTCAAGGTCTTAAAGTTGGTTGTTGGGTGTATGGTTCATTTTGCCTTGCATCGCAGCAAATTCACCTGAAGAATGAACATGGTAACTGACAACAGCGAAATTACAAATACAGGAATGAACATAAAATAATGTAAATGCTGGTTAAGTGACATGAAAAATACAGGAAAATGATTAAGTGTAATAAACATGAAAACTTGCAAGACAACTGTGACGAACTCCAAAACCGATCAATCAGAACATTAACTTGTCTTGCAACATTGTAACAGGAGATACCCAAAATGTACTGAGAAATAAGTAGCATGCGAGCTGACTATACACAGTATGCAAATTTAGGTTTAACAGGACATTGTACAGGAAAAGTAACTAAACTAAAGATTAAATGAGACAACTAACCTATATGCTCAACAAACAACTTTAACAACGTTGACATGGAATAGTTTTTTTTTTGTCCCTGCACTTTCATTGTGGCTAAAAAGGTGGATGTATCTGTTGTAGGTCAAAAGTAAATTCAGGCTAAAATGATTTTAACTAGTTTGATTCTCAATTTCCTTCATGAATAATTAGGGTTAAGAGACTAAGGAATTTCATTTTAACCTGAATTTCATTTTGACGTACAACATATCCATTTGTGTTATATGGGTGTCCATAGAGCTGGGGTGTACTGCACAACAACCAATCAAAAATAGTACATGTTCAGAGATGACTGTCTTGTGTGTCAACACAATAAATTTTCTGTTTGCTGTTTAGATATATCTCTTGGTGTTAAAAATTTCTGTTTGTTGAGGGGTAGTGTTCTATACATGTAACTCTCACAGGCTGAGGTGAAAATGTGTTTAGATTTGGTAATGTTATGAGCACGCCATTATACAGGGAAGATACAACATTCACTGGTTTAGTGACTTGCCTATTGTTTCTGTTTTTTCTGTGCAGGTCAAGAGGATTATGACAGACTGAGACCACTTTCCTATCCACAAACTGTGAGTCTTTCTTTGTCTCTGGATATTGTTGTCAGTAATAAATGCTTCTAACAGTAAAGACCACACTATGGGAGAGACGTGCATGCCATAATCTGTAAAGGAAAGTTTAAAAATATAATTTCTAAATTTTTCCTTAGGGGGTATAGATATTTTCTATAGACAGTACCTAGTAAATGATGTAGTTGATAAGGTATGAACATTGTATGCCCATTAAACAAATAATAATTTAGCCGGGAGAACTGAAAACTGAAATGTACTTAACCGCAGGGCAACTAAATGTCAAAATTTTTCCCTGCCCTGGGTGTTTTTTTCCAGATGCCGCAGGAGGGGATGGGCACTGCTGGAATTGGCTGATGCAATGCAATGCAACCGAAATTGATGTTGATTACACTGGGAAATTAGTAATAGTAATTGGACTGAGTGGAGTACAATTCAGGGAGTAATCTCGCGAGTAATTTCAAAATGGGACAAGCGCGTAGTGTCTAGTGACTTTGACAAATGTTCATATTGCTTGTTTACTTCTGTTTCAGGACGTCTTTTTAATCTGCTTCTCTTTAATAAGTCCAGCTTCCTTTGAAAATGTTCGAGCAAAGGTAAGTTGAAATGTATACAACCCACAATGTTTTATTAATAATTATTCCTTGTTAATCTTTGGGAGAAGAAGTAGCATAATGATAAGCATGCTGGATAATAATGAAGCAATCCAGGTTTGAGCTCTGGCTTAGTCTGTAATTTGTGTTCTAAGTTTACTTTAGATTCTGTTCTTGTTACTTTTTCAAATTCATAACAATGATTATATAGTTGAACCTTCTGTTGTGACCACCTCTCATAAGCGACCGCCCCTTCTCAGCGACCAGTTTTCCAAAATACCAAAAGTGTCCCAGTCAAGTCACTATATTTGGAACCTCTTGTAAACGACCACCCCTCACAAGTGGCCGCAACCACTTTTAGAGTGAAAAGTTCGAAATTTTCTAACTTGTTTTTAACCTGCTGTAAGCGACCACTTGACAGATAATAGAGCATAAATAAGGTGTTGTAACATTATCTCATTCCTGGGTAGTACAAGAGGCGGAAATATCTAAGTGGGAAGTAACAGATTTTGTTTCGAAATTGACTTTTCATGTGAATAAAACACTTGAAGCACGGGGTAAGTCTCTGCAGTTGCAATATGCTAACGAGGAAGAATTTTGATCCTCCTGTAAGCAACCACCTTGGCTTGACATTTTGGGTTGTTGCTTATGGGAGGTTCTACTGTATTTTTTTGCTCTCCCTCTCCAAGTAGGAACAATTATAAATGGGTTCCAATACAGTGTTGGGATAACTTGAAAGAAAAGGTTGAGGAATGGGCCTGTTATGGACTGGCATCCCACCCAGGGGTAGCTACAGTAATAAAAGCTTCAAGTTGTGGAAACCAGTCAGTATAAGCTCTGGCAATGTTGGCCAGTTTGAACTTGGCATAGATGTATTTACATGTACTCATTAAACTGTAGTAATATTTTAAGATTCTTTACAGTTCTTCTCCTTTTGCCCTTCTTAATTTCTCCTTGATGCCTGTTTTGTTTTGCAGTGGTATCCAGAAGTAAGCCACCATTGTCCTAGTACACCGATAATCTTAGTTGGTACAAAACTTGACTTACGAGATGACAAGGAAACCATCGAGAAACTGAAGGATAAAAAGCTGGGGCCTGTAGTGTATACTGAAGGTTTGAAAATGTGCAAAGAGATTCAGGCTACCAAATACCTGGAATGTTCAGCTCTTACGCAAAAGGGACTAAAAACAGTTTTTGATGAGGCAATCAGGGCAGTGCTTTGCCCTCAAGTGAAGAAGCCAAAGAAAAAAGGAGGATGTCAGCTACTATAAATTTCAGATCACAAACAAAAAACAAACTGCATTTTCTGTGAGGCTATTTTCTGGTTTGATCTCTCAGTATGTTAGGAATTTGCCCTGAAAAAAATGGTAGGCTTTATCCAGAAATGACAAAGATTGGTCAAATGCAAATAGACCTTAAACAAAGCTGGTGTGTACATGGGTACATAAAGTTATTTTGCTATGAAAACTGTTCAACAGCAGTATGTGCATGCTCCTTTATTCTGCTCCCATAGACCCTATTCATAAATGGCTGCCAATTTAAATTCTTTGGTAAGTATTAAAATTAGCCCAACTAACCTCGTTTTTGAGTTGATAATTCATTTTAACTCTCAAACGAGGTTAGTTGGGCTAATTTAAATGCATACAAAAGAATTCTAAATTGACAGCCATTTATGAATAGGGTATAGCCTTTGAACATTTTGCTAATAAAACTTTTGGGCGGCTATTTTGAGCCAAGCTCAGAACTCTAGAAGAAGCCTTGCCACATTCTGTATGAAATGTTAAATAATGTGAAGCTATTGTAGTTTTTGCAATATCAAAGGTCAAAATATATATATTTTTTTTGCAGTGCATTTATTTAGTTATTACTGTCATTTTTTGTAATGTTCAAAGAACCGTAGCAGATTATTGGTGTTCATAGTTCCTTCCAGGGGTGGATCTAGGGGGAGGGTACAGGTGGGTGCACACNTTAAGTGTTTTAACCCTCCTTAATAAAGTCTTTATTATTATTAACCATAGCTTTAATTTATTAACTTGTGAAATTAAACCTTCCTTTCGGAACCCTATGGATTTTGAAGGACAACCCTAGGTAAAATAGAGTAAACTACATGTAAACTCTTCCGTGGGATTCGAAACCAAAACATTTAGATCGATCCTCCAGCTTCCTCTCTTGCTGTTGTGAGGTGACTAAAGCGTGTCTGTATCCTGCACAAAGACGCTCTGTGGGCTCGTCACGGCTTGTCACGCATTCTCGTAATACAACACGTTCCGATCCCAGGTCCCAGGTTCATATTTTCTTCCTTGAGGAAGAGATTGGGGCCTGGGAACGAACTTGGACATTAGACATTATCGTTTTTCCGAAAGTTTCACTTTCCACCCCTGAGTTGAAGGATGTCTTGCATACTACACAAGATTTACATAGTTTATTTCAATTCTCATAGCTTCAGTTCAGAGATATCCAGCGATAGACTTCTCTAGCCAGACAAGGGGTAAGTACCTGGTTATTAAAAGTACCGTCTTCTCTATACTGCAATCAACTAAAACATGGCAATTTTTGACAATGTTTTGTTACCTTTATGATGAATATTATAATGCTAAAACTGTTATCATGGGAAAGGTATGAACCAGAGCTTTTATATACTGTTGACTGCTATTTTCGTTTCAGCCCACTAGCTAGAGAGAGTAACGGGTCCTATCAGAGCTCAGAGGCACTCTTTATAAGCGCTATTTTTGGCCTCTTTGCTGGGGGTGAGATATATAAGGAGGGTGTGGCGAGGCTAGGTTCTAAGCTCATATAAGGCGGTCTCCTTGCAGAGCTCTGAACTTCCGTTTGCTTCATGTACAAGTTTGGGTAATAGTGAGAGAGATTTACCTCCGAACGCCGTTTCTTTCTTCTCCGAAGACTCCAAGCTCTGTTTGAAAGGGTCGGTTTGAATTTGAAGGGAGCTCGAAGCCACGATGCAAGCGATCAAATGTGTGGTTGTCGGAGATGGGTATGCAATACGTTGAGATTAGAAGCTTTCTGAATGACCTTCAGGATGTCTTGCTCGATATTACCGTGATATTTTAAGATTCTCGTTTGTCCCTGTGCTTTTCGAGATTTGAGCGCTTTTGATTGTAAACTTTCAATGTTTGGACGCCCCTAATCATGTTATTTCGGGTTGCAATGCCTCGTAATTTCACGAACTGCCGGCGTGTATTAGATGTTCAGCGTTCTTTTGGCTTCCAGCATTCTTATAATGTGTCTCCCCTTGGTGTGAACCTCCTTGTCCCTTGTTCGATTTTTTTGGAGCATTTTGGCTGAAACTAAGAGTAAAGTTGCTAATTGTTTGCTCGTTTTCTTGTTATAGTGCTGTTGGTAAAACCTGTTTGTTGATCAGTTATACCACAAATGCTTTTCCGGGGGAGTATATTCCGACAGTGTAAGTATGCAATGCTCAGCTCCCGTTGTTTCAGCGACTTTATTTGCTGCTTATTTGATTCGATACCAGCTTTTATGGACGGATTAGGTGCTGTTCTTTTCGTACCAATCGTGTTGTACTCGTCAGTTTTCGGCAACGGCGGTCGAAACCAGCCTGACCAAAGTTTCTCTCATCTTTTTCAGATTTGATAACTATTCTGCTAATGTTATGGTCGATGGCAAACCAATAAATCTTGGCTTATGGGATACAGCAGGTAAGTCTGGTCCTTTTTCAATGCTTTCTCCGTTGTGAAACTCTATTAATTTGATAGTAGACGACTTCATGAAGGTGTTACTAGTTTTACACAAACTTACCGGAGGTTTAATTTTTGAGTCTCGTTTTTACCTGTTAAGCATATCAATGCAGTAAGCTTAACTTATATTAATTACCCAACAATGAACATTTGTACACTTTAGCTTGTGTTCATTGGGTGAAAGAATGAAACGGCGTGATGCTTTGTTGTAATTCTTTGTAATTAGCAATTGATATTCAGAACTTGTCACTTTGCAGTAAGCTTAATTGATAATTTGAAGATAAAAAATTACCCTAACTATACACCATCATCGTGGTTAAATAATATCATGTCGATACATACAAACAACCAATGGCCACTGAAAAGTTAGATATTAACACCTAGCATTTCCAGTGGTCACATTATTTTGCTCAATTTTGTTGGATATAATTTTGGTATTGACCTGTAAAGGGGTGCTTGCACCACATTGAATACTGTTGATCCATACATAACTGATTCATTTTATTGGAAATTGTCACACTTTATTTAATTCTTTTATTTGCCTTTTGGCACGTTAGTCCTGGGTCATTTTATGAGGTTGTTTATTACTATAACATTATGAAACAGTGGAAGTCAAGGTCTTAAAGTTGGTTGTTGGGTGTATGGTTCATTTTGCCTTGCATCGCAGCAAATTCACCTGAAGAATGAACATGGTAACTGACAACAGCGAAATTACAAATACAGGAATGAACATAAAATAATGTAAATGCTGGTTAAGTGACATGAAAAATACAGGAAAATGATTAAGTGTAATAAACATGAAAACTTGCAAGACAACTGTGACGAACTCCAAAACCGATCAATCAGAACATTAACTTGTCTTGCAACATTGTAACAGGAGATACCCAAAATGTACTGAGAAATAAGTAGCATGCGAGCTGACTATACACAGTATGCAAATTTAGGTTTAACAGGACATTGTACAGGAAAAGTAACTAAACTAAAGATTAAATGAGACAACTAACCTATATGCTCAACAAACAACTTTAACAACGTTGACATGGAATAGTTTTTTTTTTGTCCCTGCACTTTCATTGTGGCTAAAAAGGTGGATGTATCTGTTGTAGGTCAAAAGTAAATTCAGGCTAAAATGATTTTAACTAGTTTGATTCTCAATTTCCTTCATGAATAATTAGGGTTAAGAGACTAAGGAATTTCATTTTAACCTGAATTTCATTTTGACGTACAACATATCCATTTGTGTTATATGGGTGTCCATAGAGCTGGGGTGTACTGCACAACAACCAATCAAAAATAGTACATGTTCAGAGATGACTGTCTTGTGTGTCAACACAATAAATTTTCTGTTTGCTGTTTAGATATATCTCTTGGTGTTAAAAATTTCTGTTTGTTGAGGGGTAGTGTTCTATACATGTAACTCTCACAGGCTGAGGTGAAAATGTGTTTAGATTTGGTAATGTTATGAGCACGCCATTATACAGGGAAGATACAACATTCACTGGTTTAGTGACTTGCCTATTGTTTCTGTTTTTTCTGTGCAGGTCAAGAGGATTATGACAGACTGAGACCACTTTCCTATCCACAAACTGTGAGTCTTTCTTTGTCTCTGGATATTGTTGTCAGTAATAAATGCTTCTAACAGTAAAGACCACACTATGGGAGAGACGTGCATGCCATAATCTGTAAAGGAAAGTTTAAAAATATAATTTCTAAATTTTTCCTTAGGGGGTATAGATATTTTCTATAGACAGTACCTAGTAAATGATGTAGTTGATAAGGTATGAACATTGTATGCCCATTAAACAAATAATAATTTAGCCGGGAGAACTGAAAACTGAAATGTACTTAACCGCAGGGCAACTAAATGTCAAAATTTTTCCCTGCCCTGGGTGTTTTTTTCCAGATGCCGCAGGAGGGGATGGGCACTGCTGGAATTGGCTGATGCAATGCAATGCAACCGAAATTGATGTTGATTACACTGGGAAATTAGTAATAGTAATTGGACTGAGTGGAGTACAATTCAGGGAGTAATCTCGCGAGTAATTTCAAAATGGGACAAGCGCGTAGTGTCTAGTGACTTTGACAAATGTTCATATTGCTTGTTTACTTCTGTTTCAGGACGTCTTTTTAATCTGCTTCTCTTTAATAAGTCCAGCTTCCTTTGAAAATGTTCGAGCAAAGGTAAGTTGAAATGTATACAACCCACAATGTTTTATTAATAATTATTCCTTGTTAATCTTTGGGAGAAGAAGTAGCATAATGATAAGCATGCTGGATAATAATGAAGCAATCCAGGTTTGAGCTCTGGCTTAGTCTGTAATTTGTGTTCTAAGTTTACTTTAGATTCTGTTCTTGTTACTTTTTCAAATTCATAACAATGATTATATAGTTGAACCTTCTGTTGTGACCACCTCTCATAAGCGACCGCCCCTTCTCAGCGACCAGTTTTCCAAAATACCAAAAGTGTCCCAGTCAAGTCACTATATTTGGAACCTCTTGTAAACGACCACCCCTCACAAGTGGCCGCAACCACTTTTAGAGTGAAAAGTTCGAAATTTTCTAACTTGTTTTTAACCTGCTGTAAGCGACCACTTGACAGATAATAGAGCATAAATAAGGTGTTGTAACATTATCTCATTCCTGGGTAGTACAAGAGGCGGAAATATCTAAGTGGGAAGTAACAGATTTTGTTTCGAAATTGACTTTTCATGTGAATAAAACACTTGAAGCACGGGGTAAGTCTCTGCAGTTGCAATATGCTAACGAGGAAGAATTTTGATCCTCCTGTAAGCAACCACCTTGGCTTGACATTTTGGGTTGTTGCTTATGGGAGGTTCTACTGTATTTTTTTGCTCTCCCTCTCCAAGTAGGAACAATTATAAATGGGTTCCAATACAGTGTTGGGATAACTTGAAAGAAAAGGTTGAGGAATGGGCCTGTTATGGACTGGCATCCCACCCAGGGGTAGCTACAGTAATAAAAGCTTCAAGTTGTGGAAACCAGTCAGTATAAGCTCTGGCAATGTTGGCCAGTTTGAACTTGGCATAGATGTATTTACATGTACTCATTAAACTGTAGTAATATTTTAAGATTCTTTACAGTTCTTCTCCTTTTGCCCTTCTTAATTTCTCCTTGATGCCTGTTTTGTTTTGCAGTGGTATCCAGAAGTAAGCCACCATTGTCCTAGTACACCGATAATCTTAGTTGGTACAAAACTTGACTTACGAGATGACAAGGAAACCATCGAGAAACTGAAGGATAAAAAGCTGGGGCCTGTAGTGTATACTGAAGGTTTGAAAATGTGCAAAGAGATTCAGGCTACCAAATACCTGGAATGTTCAGCTCTTACGCAAAAGGGACTAAAAACAGTTTTTGATGAGGCAATCAGGGCAGTGCTTTGCCCTCAAGTGAAGAAGCCAAAGAAAAAAGGAGGATGTCAGCTACTATAAATTTCAGATCACAAACAAAAAACAAACTGCATTTTCTGTGAGGCTATTTTCTGGTTTGATCTCTCAGTATGTTAGGAATTTGCCCTGAAAAAAATGGTAGGCTTTATCCAGAAATGACAAAGATTGGTCAAATGCAAATAGACCTTAAACAAAGCTGGTGTGTACATGGGTACATAAAGTTATTTTGCTATGAAAACTGTTCAACAGCAGTATGTGCATGCTCCTTTATTCTGCTCCCATAGACCCTATTCATAAATGGCTGCCAATTTAAATTCTTTGGTAAGTATTAAAATTAGCCCAACTAACCTCGTTTTTGAGTTGATAATTCATTTTAACTCTCAAACGAGGTTAGTTGGGCTAATTTAAATGCATACAAAAGAATTCTAAATTGACAGCCATTTATGAATAGGGTATAGCCTTTGAACATTTTGCTAATAAAACTTTTGGGCGGCTATTTTGAGCCAAGCTCAGAACTCTAGAAGAAGCCTTGCCACATTCTGTATGAAATGTTAAATAATGTGAAGCTATTGTAGTTTTTGCAATATCAAAGGTCAAAATATATATATTTTTTTTGCAGTGCATTTATTTAGTTATTACTGTCATTTTTTGTAATGTTCAAAGAACCGTAGCAGATTATTGGTGTTCATAGTTCCTTCCAGGGGTGGATCTAGGGGGAGGGTACAGGTGGGTGCACACACCCCCCCTTGAGATGACATGCTGCTCTCTAATATCACTGGTAACAACTCAGTTATGCCATTCCTTTAGTGGTACAGCCCCTCCTAAGAAAAATCCTGGATCTGCCCCTGCCTTCTCTTTTTCAAAGTACATTTTTATGTGCCCTTGTACACAAACCTTTGATCTTTTCTTATTATAGTTATGTTTTGCTTTCTTTCACGGTATTTGAAATCATAGTTAATGGAGGGAAATGGTTAAGAAGCCTGGTAAACATCAAAGAAGCAAACAAACAGGCTAAGATTTATGTTGGAAGGTCCTTGACCCTGCACGTTTTTTGTTTTATGCTTTTTGACTATGCATGAATTACATAATCTCAGTGCTTCTATTGGTTAGTTGTATGAGCACACATAATCACCTTTTGTATTTTGCCAGGTTTTGTGCAGGGTCAACCCCCCAAATAGCTAACAAAAACATACGACTAAGAACTTCGCCAGGTTTCATGACCATTTCCTTCTATTAAGTATGTCAAAATGTATCGCTAGCCTGCTCATTTTGTGATCTCTTTCACACTGGTGTAATGAAAAAGAATGAGGTGTTGTCTATGTTTACGCATATATATTTTGGCTTTGTTGCATGGACCACCAGTTGTAACACGGGCTAGTGGAGACAGTGAAGCTTTGGTATTTTGTAGATTTAAATGAAAGATTTTGAACTAATCTTCTCAAATAATATCGGAATTAAATTTTTTATGACGTGCTTATTGTGGTGTTGATAAAAGCTTGTCTTGTTATGCACATGGGAATTGTGAGAAAGAATGGCTGGAATCCATGCACACGCAAGCAGTGATGCACATGCAAGCAGTGCTTGCTCTGGCTAGTCAAGAGACCCACGGTACAGTTAACTGAGAGTTTTACGATACTAGCTAAAAGGCGCTGGTTTAGTTGTAGTGTTCAACATCTCCAGTCAATGATTTTTTGTGTTTGGTTTTCAATATGCAAAGAGACTTTAAATGAACAGTTATGAATAATAATTTAGAACATGCTCTCAAAAATGAAAGATCGTAGATATTTTGTTTTTGTCAACCTTCAATGTGTTGCTCAAGTCAAACCATTTTAAATAGTCAATCAAAAACTTTCATATTGAACACGTTTCGAGCGAAAAAATTGTTATGTTTCATATGAAATGATAACAATTAACCAAATTTTTGAATTTGCAACTTTGTAAATAAAACTCATTGGTTTGAAAACAGGAAGCTGGCCACTACATTTGATTAGGCAGTAATAGAGTTTGGCCTGATTTTCCTTGGGATTCATGAATGCATTAGCTTTTAATTCAGCTTGGGTAATTTTGCAGTTTATTTTTTTTTTCTGTAGCTTGCTTGGTAAACAGAACTGTCTTGTGAAATCCATGGCATATTTGTACCTTATCTTGGAGATTTTGGCCTAATTATGTAATAAAAAGATCAAATCATTATGGGTGGTTTTTGAGTATTTGGATTGGTTTGATATACAGCTAGTAAATCTTTCGAATTCATCATCTCTGCACTGTACCAGTATAATTGTACATACCCCATAGCACAAGTCCTGTAAATGTCAATTTGGGAATTGATCAATGTGTCAAATAAAGTGGCAGATCTAGGGGAGGGCCCCCCCTATTTTGAATTAAAAAAAGAAGAAATCACAGAAGAAAGAAAAGCCGGCAGGGCAAGCAAAATACCCCCCCTCCCTCACACACCCTTTAGCTCAAGGTCTGGATCCACCACGGAAATATGATGCTGTAGAAAGTTTTGGGCTGTTAGTGATATAACATGAGGAAAGCGCTGAAATATCTACCCAGTGATACTTAACTCACACTAGTCCATTTAAAACTGGAAACCACAAAGGCTACTGTAAGAACTCTACTCAATGCTTGGGGAACTGCTTCCTTTCAACACCTTTAAACAGGAAAATAGAGGGGGATCAAACACATAGCCTGGTTTTTTCTTATTTTCAGATAAGGAGGGGGTGCTCCCATATTTTGGCTATGTGGGTATTTGCCACAGGATAGGATATAGTTTTTGAGGTTCCTTATCCTTAAATTGGGTATCATGATGTTTTTTTTTTTGGCCCCTGTTGGCACTGTTCAGTTCTCGAAAACATCCATACTCCCCCGACAGAAAGGATTGAAATTTCCTGGGGGGTTCTGTAAGACCAAAAAATTTTTAAAAATGCATGAAGCTGGAGGGGCTGGGGATCTTAGAACAAAATCCCTTCAATGGGGGAGGTATGGATATTTTCTGGAAGTACACAACAGACCATTTTACAGTTGTCTGCTCAGTGCCCTGGCCTTTGTATGGCAGCGAGGCTACAGTTGACCTTGTTTTGATACAGACCTCACTGCTTTTGTTGTGTAGAACAAGTTGTTCTGATGCTAACTAGGTGCATTTACATGACAAAAGCAGTGAGGTCTATCAAAACAAGGTCAACTCTAGCCTCGCTGCCATACAAAGGCCAGGTCACTGAGCAGACAACTGTACAATGGTCTATTTGTGTTCCCGGTGTGATCCTTAGATAGGGTATCTAAATCGTATTGGCTAACATTCCGGTGGGTGGATGCCCAGCTAAACGAAAAACAAATTGTTTGCTTGATTCTTAACTTACAATGTTGCAGTAACACACCTATCCGAAATCCCTGTCATATTCCTCCAGGGATATTAATGTGCCTCCACCAAATTGTGGAAATGGTATGATGTGTTCTGCAACTCTCAGGAGAATTTGCAATAAATCAGATCTTTTGTCATGACCACTCAATCCTCAAATTTGTATTCAAGATACTTAATTACCTCGGAATGGTTTTTTTTCCGTTTGCCTTTGAGGAGTACGTATTTTGAGACGAATTCAGTGCCTGACAACAAATGTCACCCTGGCGTAGCTCGCAAGCATGTAGTTGTCCCTTTGCGGGTTTTTTTTTCTCCCGAACTTGTAATGTATTGAATTTCCATGTGTTAAATTTCTATGTGTTGACTCTCGATGTTGGAGGGCCCAACATTGGTTTAGCGGGATACGGGATGGGAGTAAAAATAAAGGCGGGATACGGGATGACAGCGCTTTTAATGGCGGGATACGGGATAAAAATATTTTGGCGGGAAAGGGATTTGCTCATTTTTGACAGGCGGGATACGGGATAGTTTTAAAATTGGCAGCGGGATGCGGGATGGAAAACGGAAAATCACACGTTACAGACGTTACGTGGAGAACTGCGACTCTAACCAAGCGGGATCGGGATGAACATTCTGACTGGGGTGGGATGGCGGGATTGAGGCTAAAGTGATGGTGGGATGCGGGATTGAAAGCCTATGTTGGACCTCAAATGTTTATGAAAGTTAATTCCAAATTGAGAAATTACATGTTTGAACGAAATGCGACTGTAAATTAGGAGCCTGGAACACAGAAAATCTTTTTCATTCATCAAGGTTTTCAACCTTTTTTTTCTCATTTCTTTTAATTTTTTAGTTGGAAGAACTCGGATCATGTCAAAATTATTGTCCGCTTCAGCACTCCTTTGTTGGAAAGAAAAAGGCTTTCGATTCGCGTAGCCACAAGGAGTGAGTTCTGTCTATTTAGTCCGAGAGCTGACTATTCCTGAAAGAGTTACATGATGATTTATTTCTTTTAATTATCTTTACTACTGTTAGGTTTACCGAAATTTCTTAAGTCGCATTTGGCGAATTCTAACAGAATAAAAAAATATGGTTTAATCGTCGCTTCGTTTATGCCCCGGGGATTATGCATTTAGTCATAGTTAGTCCGCGGCTACAGCCCGGAACGAGAACTACAGTTTAGGGCGAGCAAAAAAAGTTATGTCTATGTATTATATTTATATTTTTTTTGCTTCCCGGAGACAAAAAAAAAATATGAGGAGAGGAACAGAAGTTACAATACGGCAGAAGTTTCAGTTGTCCTTATCTGTGATTGTTTAAATTGTATTAATTTTCTATTTATACACTTGTGCTAAAAATATACAGGTGGTGTAATATACGGCAAAAACAAAATCTCTGAGATGTAAGTCAGGAGGAGCCTGTAAAAATTTGTTTTGATGTCGAATTCCAAAAGTTCAATCGTGGAAAATAACCTTGTTTATTACGGGAAAAGATATTTCCCAATAGTCTAGGAAATGTAAATTGTATGTTAAGATACTCCTGAGATTAATAGCGCTTTTGTCTTTTGCGATCGTGAAAGTGTCATCATCAGACCATTTATGGTGTTTGTTTGGCAATCCATGACGTCAAACGGAAGCCGAACAAAACAATAGTGGGATCGTCGGAAGCACCTATCAATGACGTAGAACGCTTGATTTAGTGCGTCTTGAACGGCTTCCCTTGCTAAAACGTGATTGGTTGCTGACGGCAATTATTGTCTTTTCGCGTGGTCCCTCGATTCTCATTGGTCAGCAATGACGTTGTTGTCTATCTTGGAAACCAATCAGCAACGAGAATCAGGGAGACGAACGATCGGAAGCAAATAAACTTCAGGTCGACTTCCCCTCTTTCACTTTACGAATCTGCTAGAATTCAGCAGCGAATTTAGTCATTTATTTTTTACATTTTCTAATAAAACCTAGTCAACGAAAGGCCAATGGACCTTGAGGTACAAGTCGCTGTAAACTTCCTAATCGGCTATCTCGTCAATAAACTCCCACGTCGACGAGTACAGCTTTTTGGCGAAGAAGTGGTGAAGAAGCTGACGAAGAAATTCGAAGGCCATTGGTACCCCGAAAAACCTTGTAAAGGAAGCGGATACCGTTGCCTTCTTATAACTGAAAGTTTAGATCCTGTATTGAGTTCTGCTGCCAAGGAGAGTGGGCTTAGTGTTAAGGATGTCAAAGCGAATTTGCCAGAAAAACTTTGTTTGTGGATTGACCCTCAGGAAGTCTCTTTCAGAATTGGTGAGTTGTGAATGTATATTTTAAGCCTTACAGTAAAGCTGTTCGATATCCGCGACTAGTATTTCTGAAGCATCGTGGAAGAAGTGTTTTTCCGTTCCACTCGGATTTATCTGACTTTTGTTGATCCCTTGGTTTGATATCGAGAACTTCATTCAAGAAGTCGTTCGAACGTTCGAGTGCGAGGAATAGATCACGTAGGTAACTGCATGCGTAAGCAAATATGAAAGGTGAGAAACACGTCCCAACTGGTCTAAAATCGGTTTTGTGTAGAACTGCTGTTACGAATTGGAAAACGTTATTATTTCTGAATGTCATCGTGAGATCTAGTGTTTTAGCTAATGTTTCGCGAGAAACCCCCGCAATTTCCTGGCGAATTTAATCGCCCACGACTATACAAGACCCAAAGACCAGATGTCTCGAAGGTTGTGTATGAATAACTAATGTTTCCTTTTGTTTGTTCTATCCTTTAGGCGAACAGGGCTCCGTAAAGACCATTTACAAAGCAGAAAAGAAATCCGAAGAAATCTGCGACGAAACTGCTCGCTGGGTGAACCTTTTAAATGGCCATAATAGTTCCAACGCTAGCCCAGTGCCATTCCGCAGTCAGAGCCCACCGAGAATAATGGCGGACCGTTCATCTCCAGTCTTTTCTTCAACATCAAGTTCTTCGCCATCGCCTACCTCGTACAACTCCCCATTCTTACAGTATAGTAGTTGGAGTGCCGCCGAGGAATCCTCTTTCTACAAATTCCGAGCGAAGAGAGCTTCTCCGACGCCACTGTCCCCAAACGCGAAAGAGTTTAATTATCGGGCGCCGAAGGATAACTTTAGTTATGGCGCTCCACAAGGAAAAAGTGGGCTGGACACCACTCGTGGGGCATTTATCTCTTCTTCTTTCCTAGACTGGTTCAACTACAATGAAATTGGAAATTTTAACACAGCCGCCCAGCTGCCCATCTTAGCTTAAAAAATCTCAAATGTCTGGTGTTGAAAAGTTCGACGTTTGAATTTAAAAGGTGTCTAAATTTGTATAAAGAAATATATTACAAAGGATGTTGTGAAAGTTATCACAGAAAAATTGTAAATTTTTACGGAATAAGTTACAGTATTTCACCAACGCATGTACATTTGTACAAAAAACCCGTTTTGTTCATAAATGAAATGTATAGAGTTTCTTAAAAGAGATGTAAAAGATATTTTGTTCTTGTTTCAAAGAAAATTCCCAAAAAATTGCCACAATGGCGTTGAATTTATTATGGATTGTATTTAAGAATTTTTGAAGAAAGAGGAAATAAAGTTTGCATACAATTTATTTTGTGCTTGTTTTTTTCTTCTCTCAGTTGTCTCCCTTCAGCGTGAGACCAATTTAGTTATAATTTGGCTCGAAGGGTTCAACTTTATGTATGTGCCAACTGCTATACTTGCTGGGCCTACCATTTTTGTCCATTTATGATGACACTTTTTTATATACTTCATTTCCACAAATTTTCTGGAGTCTGATGCTAGGATTTGGGATGGGAAAATATTAAATATGTGTATATTCTAGTCAGAAACTGACAAGCAAGAAGACTACAAACTAAATCATCATCTATGATTTTGGAGTGTCAGAGAAAAATGATGCACTGTTTTTAATAGCTGGTTGAAATCTTCTGCAGTGAGCTGTTTATACTGATTGGATCCCAGCTAATCAATCTATATTTAAAAGAAGCCACTAATTATACAGGTAAAAGTTACCATAGTTAGCACATTAGTACCCCATCGATAGCAGTGGTTGCACAACATGTAAGCAAGCACAATCTGTTTAGTTCAAATAATTTAGCCAAAGTAAATCTTGTGTTTCAAATGTTAGTAGAGTGCATGGACGAGATCTTCAAATGGTGAGCCCATATTCAAACGAAAGCTATTCAGTTCTGAAATTTGTCAAAAGCCGTGAAAACCAGTCTACAATAACAAAGATCTGAAAACTGATACAGCTGTATTATGGTGTGGGTTTATTTTTTAACGCATATATAGATTATTCCTTGTTCTTTTATCCACTGCCAATCCAAAAGAGCCTCTAAATTTATGCACCTTTAAAAGTGGCCCTGTATTGCCCACGAGTGCTTTTGTTTGATCAGGTTTGTCCTGAACCTAGCCGACAGTTGAATCGTTCTTGAGACCCGTTCTTGAGACCCGTTCTCTCGAGGGACAACTCGAGGGACGACTCGGGGTTTGAGACTGTTTGGACAGCGGTTGTGCGATTCCACACATACGCAGTACTTTCTCTCTAGAGAAAGGCGGTAAATATGGAGGAAGGAAGGGAAAGAGAGATAAACCAGTAAATTTAAATATATTTTAAAACTAACACTACTCTTTGGCTAAAAGTACCTTTGCCTCTCCTTTAATTATCTCCAAATCATTAAGTAGGATTTATTTCTCGAAAATCTCAAGAAAAAAATCAATTTATCTCGACAATGAAGGAGGTGCGGATATTGCTTGTGGGCGATCGTAAGTGAACGTTCGATTGTTGTTGTTCTGGCTTATTTTGACAAGCGCAGATGGGTAAAAATAAATCTTGTAACAACGAAGTGCATTAACGTTCTTTAACGTGCTTTCACATTGTAGCACAAGTCGGGAAAACATCTCTGATTCTGTCTCTAGTCAGTGAGGAATTTCCTGAAGAGGTGAGTTGTCCAAACTTATCTTCTGACTTCAAGATTAACGATTGCCAATCAGTTGCTCTTTACATCTCGTTCTATGGTTAATCCCATTCTCTACATTTCATGTGAAATGCGTTAAGAAGTATTTATCTAGCAGTCACTGTCCTTTGCAACCTGCTATGGCATTCCTTGACCTCATACTACCCGCGTAACATCTTTTACGCGACAGGCTTACTTTAATCAACAACAACAACAACAACATCTTTTATTTAATGTACCCCTATGGTCTGTGCAGGTGTTTGCAATTTCATTGCAAAGTCTTTTCCAAAGAAAATTTCGTTTCATAGTATAGAGAATTGTCCAGTTTCAAAATTTAGAGGATTTTCGCTGCAGTATCCACTGCACGTTTATTGTTTTACTTGAGGGAAAATGCCTTAATACACATGTAAGTTTACTGCTCTGGAATGTTTAGAAAATATTTTAACTGACCTCTCCTAATACTTCCCTGGGTCTGAAATAATCGTTTGGGGCTAAATTATGTGTATACATGTATAGTGGTGTGTCTATATATAACAATGTACTCCCTGTTCAGAGATATGAGCAAAGCTTTGGTCTTGGAAAAATTATGAGTAGCCCAAAGGTCCCTAACCATCCCGGGTGCTCAGGACTTAAGCTTATATGAGAGAAGTAAATTTTTCCAGTCGCCCAAAGGCAAAAATTAGTTGCCTGTGGCACCTGGGTACTTCTAGAGCACAGCCCTGGATCTGAGGAACAAGTGCTTTTCTTGGCCCATTTTCATTTAGAGCACTCTAAATATGTCTGATTTTTTTTTCACCCATCAACACAAGCATGCAAGATTTCTCTGACAGGTTTCATGGTGAGATCAGCTGCTTAGCAACTTAAGATGGCAATTCTAGGCTGGGTTTGCTCCTGGAGACCGGAATTCATCATCAACCTGTACTAACATCTTGTTCTCTAACTGGATATGAATGGATCAAAACAGATCATACTGCAATATTTCTTACAAGGGAGCTGGTGGGTGGTGGGAATTTTGAAAACAAATGTTGTGGCCCTGAAAATGGTCCAACAGATTGGTTGGTGTAACATGCAAGTTCTCTGTAGAAATGTTACGTGTACTTGGCTATTTCCAAGGTCATGTTCAGAGGGAAAAAAGATAAGCGTCATTTTACTTAATAATATTTTCTCTATCACTGCGCCTTTCAATAACATGCGGACTCTAAAATTAAAAAGTTAACCAACAAATGAGTTTTTCGCTACTGTCAATCAAATGTTCGGCTGCTCCTCCCAGCTTTCGACTACTGCCGAGCACTTTTTCATTTTCTGTGCTCAATGATTTGATTACTGCGTGCTTGGCAGTAGTCAGAAGCTGGGAGGAACCGCCAAACATTTAAAAATAATATTGACAGTAGTGAAAAATGTATCAGTCGGTTAAGCTTTGAATTTTAGAGTCCACATGTATTTGAAAGGCGTGGTAATTTATAGTCAACAAAAATATTATTATATTTTGTCAGGTCCCCACCAGAGCTGAGGAAATAACAATTCCAGCTGATGTGACTCCAGAGAAGGTTCCTACTCACATTGTGGATTATTGTGGTTAGCAAAATATTATTATTGATTTATTGTCTTTACAAAATGGTGTTTTTATTTATATTCACTCACACGCGATTAGTCTTAACCGTCAAGTGACTGATTATTCCCCAGCTCCAACAGGGGAATATCCAAGTTATATTCCCCAATTTTCAGAACTGTCCTTGTTGCAAAAATATTGGAAGAATAATAAATGCAATAGCCTCTGTTTGGCAGGAAAAAAATGCTTGGATATTTGTCCTTGGACATTATCTGTTCCTCAACTTAGCTCACAGTTTTTCTTGAGCTACCTGTACGCTGTCTGAAAACTTTTAGTTTCTCAGTACAGATAATGGCCGTGGACAAATATCTGAGCATATTTTCGTGCCAATTTGTGTACATATCTACTCCGATTACCTTTTAGTCAACCTACTTGGTTAAAAAAAGGTTTTACTTTTAAATTAATTTTGTTCAGTTGAATCATAAAAAGAATACATGATCACAATACATAATACTTTTATGTGATGCTTTAATCACCAGCCTTGGAGCAGTCTGAAGACATGCTTATTGATGAGATTGTAAAGGTAATGTTTCAAATAACAAGGAACACCAAACTTGTTGACTTTTTTTGTTATGTTTAAGGTGTCTGTACTATTTCATCTTTCTTTGTTGACCCTTTGTGATGATAACTGGCAAAAAAAAGCTCTGTTAAAAAACACTGTCCTTCAACTGTCTAGCTGCTTGTCAACCTTGATGGCTGACTGTAGAACTCTTGGCTGTTTGTTGACAAACAGTTAAAGACAGTACGCCAACAAACAGTGATCTGTTGGTTATCTGTTAACAACAACAACAACAGCAACAACAACAACAATCTGTATTTTTACTCTCTCACACTATAATATTAATTGTACTAAAATATCAATGATAGAAATTAGTAAGAGTACTGGCTGCCTGGATTAACCATAGGGGCTAGTGGAGCCACGCAGCCAATTGGCATTTGTGTTTAATGAAAATAAATTGCAGGTCAGCAAGGTAGCACAAATGCACATATAAAAAGAAAGGAAAAGAAGACAAAAAGAGAGAGAGAGAGAGAAAAGCTATTACTATGCTATTAGGGAAGTCAGAAATAACTAAATTTATTTAACAAATAAAGAAGCCTACGCCGTGTATTATACTGTGATAACAACATGACAGGCATTTGAGAACACAGGGGAAATGTAGGAAACACGAGCCGCAGGCGAGTGTTTTGAAACTCCTCCTTTTTTGAGTGTTCTCAAATGTTTGGAGAATTTTATCACAGTGTAAGACACGGCTTAGGCTTCTTCATTTTCTTTATGATAAAGAGGTAAAATAAATCTTAATTAACTTTTTGATTTGATTCCACAGGCAAATGTAGTTTGTGTTGTATACGATGTTACAGCAGAGGAATCTCTTGAAAGAGTATGTGTTTGTGATGGTCATGAATGGTTATATATTAAATCAATTGAGCAGTTGCTTGCTTGCAGTGCCTAGTTGTGTGTCAACTTATTGCTTTTGCTTGCCTGCAAATTTTGTTAAAAACTGAATTTAGGGTTAGGCAAGTGAGTGCTGTTTCTATTTTGACTGGTGTTTTGATTACGAATATTATGATATCTTATCAGTAAAATAATCTCGTAAATATGGGGTAGTGTGGACCAAATTATTAATTAAATCATTTAAAGACTAAAGTAGACTAGCTTAATTATTTAATTTTGCTGTGTAACTTTGTAATGTTATCCAGTCTGTTTACATGTACTTGTAACTTTTGAAATATTTCTTAGCCCTTCTTTTTCTGGGCTAAATCTAATTTTATACAGTAAAAGAATTGTCAAATACTTGAGAAAAAATGGTTCTTGGTGAGTCTGATGTAGCTTTTCATCTTGGCCAAGAGACTCTTCAGAGACTTTTCAGAATTATGACAAAATACAAGTTGATATACGTCTACCACTCTGCTTTAGTTGCACTCCACACCATGTACTTTCACCATCACAGATAAAGTTTAAATTACATTGATGTTGTATTCAACAGATAACATCTTTCTGGTTACCACTCATAAGGCAGACTGCAGAGGAAGAGACTTTGAAACCTGTTATTATTGTTGGTAACAAGGTAACTTGAGTAGTGATAAGTGGATAAAGATGGTAAAAGGAAAGGTGAATTGAGCAACATAGCATGAGTGTGGGACAAAGAAAAAATTCTGAGTCCCTGACAGGAATCGAACCCATGACCTCCCAAACACTGGGAGGATGCTCTATCCACTGAGCTACGAGAACTCGTGGAGAGCAAGGTCATTTAACTGAGTGACAGGCGTCCTGCATATTGCTAGGATTAGCACTGTCAAAGTCATTTTTTCTTAGTCCCATGCTCGTGTCATGTTGATCAATTCACCTTTCACAAGGTAACATCACTTTGAATTGTAACTTGGATCAAATTGTCGATCAGAAATTCACTTGTCTCCGTTTAACCATTAAGTAGAAAGCGTATAAGATGCTAGGGGCCTGTGTTATAAGACATTTATTGCATCAATGTAAATGCAAAACAATGTTTCTGCATTTATGAAGTTTGCATTTTATAATTGATCAAAATGCATGTAGGCTCTTGAATGTGCTTCTTTTTTGATCATTAAAAGACTGAAAGCACCACCAACCAATGTAACCATAGGATCATTGCCAACTTTTTGTTATTACTTTTTTTTTTTCTTAGTCTGATCTCATGGATGGAAGTACAATGGATGTAAGTAAACTGGGAACTATGAAGCACTCACTTTTTGAAATATTTTAAGATAATGCATGTAATATGAGGATGAAGTTGCAGATTGTCATGCCTGCCAATTAAGAACCAAATAAATAACTTTCAACAAGGCTAGTACTATTTGTATTATTCTGTAAATATTTGTAGGTTAGAGAACATGGCCTACAGATCTATCCAGCTCTTAGTAAACTCTGCATTAAATGAAATGTTTGTTTTTTTATCCTAAGAAAATAATGTATATTTCATTTTGGGTCTTGCAATGTACTTGAGACTGACACCACAATAACGTGAATCGGAAATATCTAGTATTCTGAGATACAATGTCGCTGCTTTGGTAGAATCTCAGAAGCCATCTAAAAGACCCTTAGTTTAGTGACATCTGCTACTCCACTTGACTGGTACTTTTAAGATTTAGGTTTTGAAATAATACCCTGGCTTGTCTATGTCTATTTAGACTGTCTTACCAATAATGAATGACTACACTGAAGTGGAAACATGTGTAGAAGTGAGTATTGTGCAAAGGTTTGCTTCAGGTATAGCTCCTCCAAACGTGTATGTAAAATTAGTTTGCAGTGTATACATGCACACGGAGAAAAAACCAAAAGCTAATGGGCTAGTCCAAACATTACATACAGTAATAGTGGTACTAATCAAATTCTGAATAAAAATCATCTGGGCTTCTACTTAAATGATATCTAGATCTGTTTGCTTGCATTAACTTCTTACAAGAATGCTCTGATCAACAGACAGAAAATAACATAAATTTACTTTATATATTGTTAATGCACCATCCAGTCAGAAGGCTAGACTTGGACCGAGATGGAACACTTCCACAGGGACAGAGGGGATTGGAAGCAATTCATCAGTGCCTATGCTCCGAAATGGAGTGAAAAGGGATCAGATCAGACTTTATATCATTTTATATTTTGTGCTATATCTATTCATTGGACTATGTATAGTTAGAGCTATGCATTCACTAAGTTAAACCTGATTTAAAATTTGCATAGATGTATGCAGCTTTCGGGTGTCACGCTGATGGGACTTTCTTGCCCACATGTTTAACACTGTATGGTCATGAGAACTCAAACTGTGTTCAGATCTTTGAGAGTTTTGAACCTTAAAGCTTTAAAATACTTACTAGTTTACTTGTGTAATATGTAAAGTTTATTAAATAAAATACAGTCGAATGATTAAGCAGCCACCTATTAAACGGCCACCCCTATTTAGGCGGCCAGTAATCAAAGTCCTGACAAAGGCTTTTCTATTTTTTTTAACCTCTTATAGGTGGCCAGCCCTCATTAAGCAGCCACTACCCATTTCCCTGAGGGTGGCCATTTAATAGGGGTTGAACTGTGCATTAAATTTGATGAATTCATATGTAGCATTCTTTGGTTTTGATCTCTTAGTGCTCAGCGAAGGACCTGAAAAATATATCTGAGATGTTTTATTATGCACAGAAGGCAGTCCTTCACCCAACAGCTCCTCTTTTTTCTGCTGAAAGTAAAGAGGTTTGTTTGATTTAATTTGTACATCGACTTTTAATCTTTGGAATTCTTCTATCAGCAATCTTCAGAATTTAAGGGTCAACTCTGAATTGTATGGTGATTTTAATTAATAATTATTATTGTTGGTCTGATATGAACGAAACCTTTATTATCTTAACAGTAAAAGATTCGTGTTAACAAATGTTTGATGTCTTGTGGTGTATTTGATATTTCAGTTAAAGCCATTATGCCAGGCTGCACTTACAAGAATATTTAAGGTATCTAACCACCAGATTTTGTAAATTATTTAATTCACTAAAATATATAACTGTTATTTTCCTTGAATTTTTCTTCTGACTTAACGTAACAAATATAATATATATTTCCAGATATCAGACACAGATAATGATGGCTTATTGAATGATAAAGAACTAAATGAGTTTCAAGTGAGTTGACATCGTTCTTTTATTATCAAATTTGCATTGCATATTGAGGATTTAATTTACGAGACCGTACAGAATGTCATTACAGAATGCCATTATGTGTGCATGATGACATCAGACTAGCATAAGTCACCATCAGGCCTAGGTTGGAAAACACAAATTGTAAATTTTATCATAAAATATATTTTGCACCCAAAGAAGCAAAAATGAAGAGAATGCCCACATGAAAACTACATGCAGGTCCCTGAAGTTTGAGCAAATTTGGCGATAATCAGGGTTGGTGGTGAATTTTGAGCATGTGACTTAATCGTATATAAGTCTTAAGACCAATTAATTAGCTAGCGTAATCTTTTTAAAATTGGTCAGCTTGTGCTACCATGCCCTTCATTGATTCAAACTTTGTTTCTCTATCAGAACCGATGCTTCAACACCCCATTACAAGGTCAAGGACTACAGGATGTTAAGAATGTTGTAAGAAAGAATGTTGAAGGTGGATTGCGTGATGGTGGACTCACATTACAAGGTGGTGCAACAGTGCTAAGATAAGAATTTAGATTTCAGAACCCTAAGCACATATTGTCCCTTGAAGTAGAAATTCTTGTAAAGATGTGGAGTTTTGGTGTCTAAGTGTGGACCACTTTGTTATCAGTGAGGTGGGCCATTGGAGATAAATGTTTGTAGCACAATGCCTGTAGTGTATAGACAATCAACAATTGTTTTTTGATACCTTGTGTTCCTGTTTTTCTTTGTGTTCATTCTTCAGGTTTCTTATTTCTACATGCACTGTTCATCCAGAGAGGAAGACATGAGACAACATGGACTGTCCTAAGAAAGTTTGGATATGGAGACGATCTCAAGCTCAGAGCTGAATATTTATGTCCAGCGTAAGTTCGCTTGTGCAAAGCATAGAGTAGGCTTAATTCTCAAGGGAAAAGTCACTACTTCAGGCATGATATTCCATGACATCAAAATGTGATGCTACATCAGGCCGTCCAACCAGGTGAACTGTATCGAGGCATCTAGCTTCAAGGCCCACAATGTGTTCAGGGGAGAAAGAATTTATTTAATAATTAAACCCAGAAATGTAGCAGCTCTCATAAGTTTGTTACCCGTATTCTATTTTGTTGTAAGAGTGCAGCTGTTGTTATTGCTTTGGGGCTAGGGGCATTGTTTCTGTTGTTTGTTAATATTGTTTTCTCAAAGAGTATCAAGTCAGTTGTGTGAGACCTTGCAGAAGCTGCTACCTGACCCATTGGCAAATAAATTTAAAATAAAATATTTAAATATGTCATAATGACTGTTCTCTAATAATAACAAGTCACCTGTTGAACATTTTGTTATTTTTATAGGATCGACATGGGAACAGACCAGACAGCAGAATTATCAGATGCAGGATATCAGTTTCTTATTGACCTTTTCAACAGGCACGACAAGGTGCGCATAGATCATCGACTGCAAAAACGACTTTCTTATATTGGGTTGTGATACATTGCCTCACCAAAGGACACAATAAAACAATGAATATCAGTGTCATCACTGCTTAAACCCAACATCTTTCTTTACTTTTTTTTTTTTTTTTTTTTCAAAGGATGAAGATGAAGCGCTGAGTCCAGAAGAACTACAGGTTGGTTTTCCTATACATCAGGATGTCAGTCCTCACACATAAGAAGTCTTTTCTGCAATAAGTTGTAAATTCTAAAACACAACTGGGAGCCATGCCAAGCTGAACCACGCAGCCTGACTTTAATTACAAAATGTGAAAATAGTACAAAAAAGTGACCAGCAGGAAAAGATGCTCCTGGGATTACATGTTGCAAAAAACTCTTACTAATAACTGCCAAAAATGAAAACTAACGTCCCTTCAAGGGCTTCACAAGAAAAAAAAGAGTGAACTAAATGACCCTGAGAAGCAAAAAAACTATCATGCTAGAAGGGTGGGTTGGTGGGAGGTCAGGCAATGGCGAACAGCAACAAGGAAATTGGCAAACAAGGACAAACCATGTGACCTGACCCCCTGCACACTAGCACCCAGACTCCCAGATGTGTGTGAGAAAAACTTTTTCTGCTTTGTCCGTTCCTCAGCCAGCGGAAAACAACACTTTTAAATTTGTTTATTTCAGGAGTTGTTTGCTATTTGTCCCACAATGCCATGGGGTGAAGATGTTCTTAGTTCTGTGGAGACTAACAGCAATGGATGGATAACTCTTCAAGGATTTCTAGCTCAGTGGACGTAAGTAACACAGCTAGCCTGCAGTGTAGGTGTTATTTGGAATGGAAATATGCTCAATAAACCAGGTTTATGATGTGGCCATCTTGGATTGTAATTTGATGCTTGCTACCTCGCGCCTACTCCCTTGGCAAATTTTCTCTTCTTCCAAACCTCCACAATTACCAAATTCAAGATGGTGGCTTAAAACAAAAATGTGCACTCATACACTCAAAATATGTCTGCATTACAGGCTATACACGGTTAGCATAAGTTCAGAATCTGTTTTAGCTCCTCCCAGGGGACTTTTTGAATGTTCTGTTTGTCATATAAATGTACACTGAATGGATAGATTGGTTTGGTTGCCTTGCCATTGGTTTAAAACTATTATGAAATGCTGTCAACCGGTAATAATTTGAAGAAAGTAAAATGTGGTGTTCCCTCACATGCTAATCCAAGTCATGTTACTACATCAGAATGTCAACAAATTTCATGTTAAGTTCTGAGTGAATATTTTGAGGGTTAAATATCAAATTCTAAACTTTTTTTAGACTAACAACATTCCTGGATTACACAAGGATGTTAGCATATTTGGCAATGTTTGGTTACATTCATCAGGAAAATGAAACTCCACTCTCAACTGCAATAACAGGTAATGTACGGTATAAAACGATGGCATTTTATTAAATGACTTCACCTGAGAACCTAGACAGATTCTCTCCTGTTGTTTTACTTCGCTGAAAACGTTTAGCGTGGTTTTTAGCGGCGATAAACAGTAGGCAGGAATTCATCTGTATTCCAGGCTCATAGATTACATTGTAAGGTGTTAAAAATTATGTCTGGTTCAATGTGTTTTCTTCCCTTTCCCTCCCCACCACCACCCCCCAAGAGAACTTGCTCCCAGTTTTATGGAGCCCTTTACATGGCAACTGTTCTAACCAGGCCACTTTTTGACATCATTCTGTTGGTTTTCCATAATTCTTTACCTATCATAATCAAGCAAGTACTGAGCAAAAACTGATGTTAAATTAAATTTACTTTGTAAGGTAGTATAAAGTTAATAATAATTTTTAAACAAGAAACGTTATCTAACTCGAGTGCATGTGAAGTGTTTCCATCTTGTGACAGAGTGCACATCTTATCATACAACACAATCCCTGACCATAACTATGTTCTACTGACTCAATTTTGTTTAGATTAATATTATTTAATGAAATAATGAAGGATGCGAATGCAGCCATAACACTACTGGAAAAATGACCTGAAAAAATTTTTCAGGCTCTAAACGGGATTCGAACCCACGACCTTTGCGTTACCGGTGCAATGCTCTACCAACTGAGCTATCAAAACCACATGAGAGCGGTCGTGTCTGGGTTCAGCCCTGGCCGAACCCAGACACGACCGCTTCATTCTTTCATTACTTAATTACTACTGTTGGACATCTATTGGACATCTATTACCATATAATGTTATTTAGTTTGCCTGAAGTCCACTTTTTCTGCGTGGAAGAGTTGAATCTGGGACCACCAAACACCAGTCCATCTAGTGGCAGGGAGGAGGATTTGAACCCGGGACCTCTAGACTACAAATCCTGTGCCCTAACCACTAGGCCACGCCACCTCCACCTACTGTAGTTGCTAAAACAGTTTTGCACTCAAGAGACAGGGGAGTTTAGGGAACCTCGATGATTACAAGTATGAGAAGGTCGCTTGGTAAAATGTCAATGGTTTTACACGTGCGTTATACATGTACATCATGGTACATTTTCTTAGCTGCCCTATCCAAAACAATCAAGTGATGTGATACAGCAAGGGAACAGTTTTGATTTTTTTTATTTTGGTTTTGTGTGTGTGACTTTTTTTTAATGATCTTTGTCCTCTTGAGCTACATGTACAACACGCCATCGAGGTTTCTTTAACTCCATTGTTACCAAGAGTAAAATACGATGAAAAATATTTGTAGACTGCTTGTTAAATGTTCTAATTTCTACTGACTGTGTTTTTTCCTTTCTTCTTAACTTCTCTTCTAGTCTGTTCTCCTTTGCCTTTCACCTTGGTTTCGTCTGTGTCTCGTCTCATTCAGATGCGAAAAAAGTTCCGTCTTTTATCTTCTTACTCTCGCTGGGCTCCAGCAGATACTAAACTGGGTACTTAACAAAACTCGTGGAAATGTTTAACTAGTGATTAACGATAACCTTTTTTTCACGTCATTCAAAAACTGTTCAACATCCAAACCTTAATTTAACAGTAACTTTCAGTTTAATCTTTGGTTTTTCTGTTAGTATTTTTAACAGTTTATAAAACTTAAAATTCATCCTAATTTTTGTAAAACAGTTCAAGGTAAAAATACAAACGAGTAATAAGCTTTTTAATTTTTTCTTGTAAAACACTTAACCGCTACGATGCCGCTCGTAATTAAGAAGCGTCGTCGAACATATAACTGGAACAGCCTATTGTGACTTCGTTTTTTCCAATTTTGTTCTGCTGTATTCCGTTTGTTTTGTTTCTTTGCTTTTATTTATCCCCTTGTTGTCTTCTTTTGAATACATTGTTTTCTTCAGACTTCTTCTTTTTGTGCCTTTACGTTTGTTTATTTGTATTCATTTTTTTTTTGTTTCTTTATTTATTTACGTGTATATTTGGTTAATTTTCACTTTCATTTATACATGTGTTTATTTGCTCATGTTTTGGTACAAGCTACAAATAATCTTGTATTGACTCACAAGCAAAGTTACATGGAAGATATCAAGTGCATTAGAAGTTGATTAATGAGATAAAAGAAAAGTATTTGGTATATAAAAAAGAACCTGAAGGCTAAACACACACTAGGTTGCCTACTAAAGAGGCATCGCATGACTGGTTTTGGTGTGGTTAAGCAGTGCTTAAATAGTGATATGTATTCGTTTTGTCCTCGTAGTTACCCGCAGTAAAGTTGTTGATATGCAGAAGAAACAGACTTCCCGTTCTGTATTCCAGTGTTATGTGTTTGGGCCGCCTGGTGTAGGAAAAGTAAGTCTGCTGCAAACGTTAAACCAGGTTAAAAGTCAGTAGGTGTGTCGTGAAATGTCATGTCTGTTAGAGAAGCCAACCCGAGCAAGTGCAGAATCCGAACTGTTTGTAATAATTTTCAAGGCCCCGTTTTTGGTCAATCTATAAATCACCTCAACGTTTTTTAGTGTAATCCAATTATTGTTGTTTATTCCTCTTGCTACAGACAGCTTTTCTTCAAGCCTTTTTAGGACGAACTCAAGAGGTAAGCAGTAGTGAAAGTCTCACACTAGATACTGTCCTGCTATCCTCAGATACTATCCTACGGAGTCAGAGGTCGTGGATTCAAATCCTGTTTTCAGGCTTTAATTTCACAACTGCTTTTAAAAGTTGGGTATGTCGTAACTGCGATGATCACTCGGGTCTTCATAGGAAACCTTTTGTCTTGAAGATTTTCTAATAAATGGCACCAATTAACAGCGCCTTACTGAATTTGCCAATGTTGATTATGGTAATGCTTATGTCCTTGTGAAAACCAGCCTTAGAGAGTAGATGAATGGTAAGTCAGTCTAGTATCTGCGGGGATGTTGCTAGGCAACAAAATACATCCTGTGAAGTATATATGAAATAATATAATAATAAACACACACTAGGTTTGATCATACTTCACCTTTAAAATACATCCTGATGGCGACAGTCTCTCGTGACATCTTTCACGTGACTTAAGTTCTAAGTTCAACATGTTTTCACGTGATCCTCTGAAATATGTACTTGTGTTTATTTGTTTGTTTGTTTGTTTTTAGCCTGGTGAAGCGGAACAGGAATTATCAAGTTATGCCATAAATCTTCTAGAAGTTAACAGACAAGAAAAATACTTAGTGGTAAGTGACTGTAGCATCTTG